GGGGGGCGGGGGCCCCGGGCCCCAGCCGCTCCGCAGCATGTGGGCTCTTCCCAGACTGGGGCACGAACCCGTGCCCCCCGCATTGGCAGGCGGACTCTCAACCACTGTGCCACCAGGGAAGCCCCGAGCACTTTCTTTTAATCTTTTCCAAATTTCAAAGCCATCTTCAGGTCAAAACATGACTAGCCACCATCCCTTTCCCTTTAACACATACAGAGCTTTGGGTACGCTATCTAGTCCACCAACTTCTTTCACTTATGTAAATACATTTATTCAGTCATGATTTCATACCTACTTGATTCTACCTCTAGGTGTGCAACTATGTCCTGGGTTTATTTTTTATCTCCCCAGAGAGCTCCCTAAAAATGGTAACTTTGTCCCATTATTCCTCCTTCTTCCCACAGCGTCTCCAGCAAGCTTTTGTGTGCAGCAAGGAGCTCAAAACTTAGTTTTAAAACTGTCCCTCCAAATGCCCGGAAACCAGGTTAGTGCCAGGTCCTCTACTGTGGAAATGGAAATATAGCTAGTTCTGGGATAAAGCAAAGCTTTCTAGATAGAAATTGGGCTCACAAAGAGTCAAGTAACCACAGTCCTATCCTTTCTGCACTGCCAGGTTATCCCCCAGGAAACAGAGGCCCAGGGCTTACAAAGATTTTCCTCTCCTAAGAATTTGAGTTGTATGGGGAAAATTTGCAACCTAAAATTCTCTAAAGAAGGTATCTACTCTTCTCTCTTATATGCAGCTCCTTCAGAGAGCAAAGTCCAAATTGGCTTTGTAGATCCACAGAAGTAGGTGATAGAAAGCAAGGCATTGGGGTTAAGGTACCTTCTCAGAACTAACCAGGCACCCTAGGCCAAGGCATTGGGGTCAGGCAGGCCACTGTGTCTCCTTCCAGAAAGCCAGAAAGGCACGATATTCCTACACACCAACACACACACACACACACACACACACACACACACACACACAATGTCCAAGTGTCCAGTGCCTTTTTGGGAAAACCTGATTTCAGATGCTTGCACCAAGATTGCTCTTCTGACCAAAAGTGCCCCAATCCTGCTTCTTCCTAAAGAACAGAATACAGTAATAAGAGCACATGGTGTGACTGCTATGTGCCAGGCAGTTTCATACCTTATTCCTCACGGCAACACATATTATCATCTTTGTTTTGCTTATGAAGAGACTAAGGCTCAGAGCCACTTTGACACCTGGGCTTCTGGGGCTATGGGAAGTTGGCTCCTTGGCTGGACATGGAGGACACAGTGGGTTAGAAATGAGGCATATGGCTCTCCCCTACCCTCAGCAAGCCTGATGCCACTGAGGTCTGTGTAATCTGAGACTCTTCCTTCCAAAAGGGACAGGAAGAGGAGGTGAGCAGCCCAGACGAGGCTGGGTAAAGGCTCAACAACCAGGGGCAAGAGAGAGGAAAAGGGGGAGGAGGGGAGCTACTCAGCTTGATAGAGAATTTCCCTCCAGGATTTTGAGGTAGTTGGGCTTCCCAGCTTCTTTCTAAAATGGGGTGGGCCTTAGTAGTGCTGGGAAGTCTCTCCCCTGTCTCTCTCAGGAGCCTCGAGAAAGGACAGAGAATCTCTCAGATCCTAACGGGATCCTCATCTTCCCAGACCCTAATGGGATCAGGCTTCCGATTCTCAGCCAGCTGTGGCTGAGCGTTTTGCGACTTCAGGAACAGCTGAGGGCACTGGCTGTGCTTCAGCTCTGTGGGCTTTAGGGTGTCACCCTCATTCCTAAGCCTCTTTGTCTGGGCTGGAAGCCTTTCCAATTAGCTGTGGTCACTGATAGGTCCCAAACACTATCTTCCAGTTGTTGGAAGTCCCCAATTCAGTGCCAAGATATGCACAGTACAGCCCAGTGTCAGTGGTTAGCAGAGAAGACCAAGAAGGTCCCTTGGAAAGCATTCAGGGATGGTTTCCTCCCTCCGGAAGTTCACGATTGCCAAGTGAGGTCGGGGGTGAGAAGAGCACTTCCAGACAGTGCCTGTGAGATGTAAAGTGGCACTTTTCTGGGAGGCATTTTGGCAATATGAATCCAGAACCTAGAAAACATCAGCTATTTTATTTCTAGGACTTTATCGTAAGTTAAAAGTCAGAGTCAGAATGGCATGGACATATATACACTACCAAACGTAAAATAGACAGCTAGTGGTAGCTAGTGGGAAGCAGCCGCATAGCACAGGGAGATGAGCTCGGTGCTTTGTGACCACCTAGACGGGTGGGATAGGGAGGGTGGGAGGGAAGGAGACGCAAGAGGGAAGAGATATGGGAACATACGTATATGTATAACTGATTCACTTTGTTATAAAGCAGAAACTAACACACCACTGTAAAGCAATTATACTCCAATAAAGATGTTAAAAAAAAAGAGTCAGACAAAGATGTTAATCACAGCACTATTTACAATAGCAAAAAAACTGCTAACAACTTAAAGGCTAACCATGGGAGTCTGGATAAACAATGTTATAGCCATACTCCAGAACATTATCATGTAGACATTAAAAAGGTCCTTATAGTTTTAGTTACATGAAATAATGTTAACTGAAAAAAGCAGGTTACAAAGCATTAACAATATATCCCACGTATATAAATGCTATAGCTATCCCTCTGAACGCATAGAAAGATAAGACTTGAAAGAAAAAACACAAAATATACATTTGAATAGAAAATTTATTATAAATATTTAAAAATTATTTATCTGAGGTGGGATTACGGGTGACTTATTTTCATTTTCCAAGCTCTTCACTTTTCTATCAGGAAAAAAAAGAAATCTTAAGGACAGTCGTCATATGCTGACAAATCGAGGATGGTCTTTCTCTTACCCTACACACTTCATGCTGAACAGACCTCACCTGGAACCCAGACACCTCTGCTTTTGTGCACTGTGCTATCCCCTCCCAATCATGACAGGGGGGATAGAAAATCACGTTGCTATCAGTGGAAAGTGGACAGAGCTCCATTTACTAGAGGAGAAAACACCCTTGTTGTCACACCAAGGCCTGAAAATAAAGTTTGGGATTTGTCCAACCTTCTTCACTTGATGACTGGCCAGAATAAATGCTCAGGGTGCTTGCATGTGAGGCCATAAAGTTCTAAATGATGCTTCCTTCCAGCTGGTGTGCTTTGGGGATAGCTGGGGCCTCCAGGATGGGGTAAGCATCAAAACCCATGACCACAGCTATTGGTATTACTTTCAAAAACACAGCACCCACCCTCATGCCCTAACTGATGAGGGATCTGTCCAGCAGCCTGGGTGTCATTATTCCTGGGCTCCAGGCCCCATAGGTGACTCACAGCCAGCCCCAGGCAGTGCCTCCTGGCCTCAGTTTCCCTGGCTTTCACTGTTGACACTCCCCACCATGTACAGTGTCAATAGGGATGAGGTGCTTTGAACTCCTTAGATGAGAATTGGGGGAAGGAGCACCCAGTTATCATCCCCTGTCCCACCAGGCGTGGGAGTGGGAGTCGGCTGCTTTCACACTGTTCCAGCCCGAGGGGCCTCCTCACAGCCCCTTACTCTTCTGCCTTCTGCTCTGGTGACCAAATGTGAGAATCAAAGCCGTCACCCCCATCTCAATGCTGCTTCAGAACAGTTTTCCTAAATTGAATTTTCCAACTGTCCGAACCATCAGTCATCTATCTTCCCCCTGATTTATGATTCAGTTAATACCCTACAGGTGTCTAAATTCTTTCTCCTGATTGATTGGTTACAAACCCTGTGGGAGGAGGGCCCTGACTTTTCCCCATTAAGTATTCAGCAAAGTGAGCTATGAGAGAGACAGGCTGACTGAAGTTCAAACTCCTCATCTTCCTGTTTCCTCACAGTAAGGTGGGGCTTAGTACTATTCCCCATCTTGTCTATATCCCTAGGAGCTGCTGTGAAAGCCACATGAGGACTGTGTGTGTGGAAGCTCTTTGTAAAATGCTAAGCCCTTCCCATGTATTAACAGTACTGAGTGTCTGCAAATAAGACTACTGGCACGACAGCCATCTGTCCCCTTCTGCCTCCAGGCTACAGCCGGAAAAAAAAAAAAAAAAAAAAAAATTAAAATAAAAAAAATAAGCCTGGGATGCTACCTACTGGTTGAAAATGTGAATTGCATCCAACCAGCTGCAAGAAGAGCAAAGGAAGCAAACACCAGTATTTCCAACTTCAAGCCATCTTGATTTTTCCCACAGCCCTCATGATATGATTATATGCTGATATTTTTCTTTAAGCAACTCATTTTGTATAAATAATTTCATTTTAAACTCAACTTTTAATCACTACTATAAATGGAAAACTAGTTAACACTTAACCTCAAAAAACAATAAAACCATGACATAAAGACAACGAAAATAAAACGTTACAAGATCTGCGAGGAAGTGTTGTCTGTGAGACCTCAAGTTTGAGGTTCACTGTTAAAATGGAAGATTAATCAAAGAGCATAACTGAGGACTGAGAGTCAACCCTCTAGTATGATCCCATGCTTTGGGGGAAACACTGCCCTGTAGTATGAAGAAATAGGACTCTTCTGAGGAAAGGGGACATTCCCATATTCCCAACTCACTCGGCCTGGATGATTGAAGAAAGTTTGGAAGCCACAAAAAGTAGAAGATAAACTCTTGTATTGTAGCACATTCCGTCCCAGCCCGAGTGGGACCAGTGCCGAATCCCTGGTGGCAGCACCCAGAGTTCACGAGGCTGTGACTGGTGCTCTGCTTGGCTACATTTGTGGCTTTTGGCCAGAAGTCCTCTGCAAGGCTGAGTATCCCCTCGCCAGTCTCCCAGCTCTGGCTGGGAGGGCTGCCCTTGGATCTGCAGGCCACTGAGCTGTCCGCTGCTCACTGGGAGGTGCCACTCTCCCCAGTGCTGGGTCGTGTGTCTTGTTCTCCAGAGCTCAGCTTGTTGCTATAGCTGCATGGCCTCCTGCTCCACTGACTGCTCTGAGGGCGCCAGGTACTTCTCCTGCAGGCCCAGGGTGCTGATGGAGGGCTCGTCAAGGCTGATAGCATAGGCAAGGATGGAGTACTGGTCTGGGTAGGATCTGACCTCTGTGATGTGTGCCCTCTAGCTGCGTCTGAAGGTTCCTCCCATCCCACTCCCTTCCTCATAATTAGAGCTTCAGGCAACAGGGAACAATTGGGTCTGAGAAGTCCCTCAAAATAACCAGACCCAAATGGTCCTCTATTCGCCTCTTGCCCACACTGTAGAGAAGCAGAGAACCAGAGAGCACTAACCCTCCAGCTCTGTGTTGTGGCATGTGCTCTGGAGCCAGGCCATGGGGTTAAACCCTGATTTTGCCACTTCCTTTTTCTCATCTGTAATACAGAGTTGTGAGGAACTCTGTCAAATGAGACAACGAATATAAAGCGCCAGCATGGCAACCAGCATACGGTAGGTGCTCAGCAAATGACTTCTCTGTTGACTTCTCTGCTTCAGCTAAAGGAGGGAACTCAAGGGAGCTCAAAGAAAACAACAACTTTCTGCTTGGGCTATAGGGTGCCTTCTAGCTCTCTCTGGAATAGCAGGAAAGTGGGGCAGGAAGGACATCAATCAGAGTCACACAGGAAAAGACCACAACACTACCCATGGAGCTGTGTGAGGCTGGCCGACCTGAGGCCTGGGTCTGGGGTCTGACTATGGCTAGGTTGGCCACCATGGCTCTTATACTAGAGGACTCCAGCGCCAGAACTTGAGATTCTACAACCAGGGAGACTGAGGTTCCAATACATCCCACGGCCCCCTCAAACACAGAACAGCTGCCAGTTCCCATCCCTGCCACCCACATGACAAACCTGCCCTCTCCTCTTCCTTTTCTTGCCTCAGTGACTACAACCACCCCCTACCACTGACTAAACCAGAGACCTGGGAGTCTAACTTCTGCTCCACCTCCTTCTATCCCATAACCACCTGGTCACCAGCTCTGGCTGTCTGTCTCCATCACATTTTTCCAGTCCACACCCTTTTTGCTATTGTTACTACTAATGTTGCATCCCATCTCACCTGGAGACTGTAAAGACTCTCCTGCTCCCAATCACATCCCTTAAATGCATTTTCCACACTTGGAGGTGCTTTTCAAGAATGTACATCTGATTGCGTCACGCTCTGCTCAACAAGAGTATGCTGGTTCCCACTGGCCACCCACGGCCAAAGTCCACACTCCTCCATCGCCTACCTCCCCTTCCCACTGCATCTCCCTTTCCCCTTCACACTCAAGACACCAGGCAAACCGAATCCCTTGCATCTCTCCTAAGTGACCAGTGCTTGCTCATATCTGGGCCTCTGTATTTGTTGCTCCTTCTGATCAACAGCCTCCCTTGTCCTCAGGTACAAACAACCCTGAAGCCTTCCAAGGGACCAGTTACCAGGGAGCCCACTGGTCAACATGAAATCAGTCATCTGCAAGGGCAGGCATGGCCATTCCTGAGCCCCTGGCCTCCCGCTCTTGGCTGTGGCGGAGGCTAGCGAGCAAGGATACGAGGAGAAGTGGAAGTCAGCTCCCACCGCAGCAGACATCACGGCCTCCAGGCTCCGCTGCTCCTGGACCCCAAAGCAGTAGCCATTGGCTTTATCCACAGCCTGCAGGACCCGCTGGATACTCTCCTTGTCCTGGGCAGGGAGGAGAGAAACAGCTCTGAGTGAAATAGAGGTATGTGGAATTGGGGTTGTACCAAACCGACTGCAGTCTCCAAACACCCACCTTGATCTTGCCTCATGAAGCCTCTGTCCATGCAGCTCCCTTGGCCTGGAGTACTTCTACATGTGCCCAGAGGCCCGGCTACACCTCATCTTTCCTGACTACCAACCCACCCAAATTAGAACAGATAAGCACCCGTATGCACACCCGCAGTCCCCTGGGTTTATCCCCACTGTAGCTATGATCCTTACCATCTTACTATTAGCAAGTTATTAACTCATCTGCCTCTCCTACTTGACTGTGCACCCCTTGAGGTCGGGAACTTGTTTGTCCAGGCATCCCCAGTGCCTGGCACAGAACCTATCTAACAGTAGGCACCCGATAAATATGCATGTAACTTATTTGTTCGTCCACATAAAAGTGGTAAGAATGGTCCCTACATCACATCATGGGAAAGAGAGATCAAAATAATGCATGTACAGTCCTCAGCACAATGCCTAGCACAGAAAGCCTTCAATAAGTGGTAATTGTATGATTAATATTATAGGTTTCACCTCCTCGTTTTAGAGGAGAAAAGTGTGGCATTAAACAGAGAAGAGACAAGTTCCCTTAAGTTCACCCCCAGCAGAAAGGAATCTAACACGCACCTTTGTCTCCCAGGTTACCTTTGTAGGGTGCAAGGTGAGAGGCACAAGGGTTGGGTACTACTTTGCAAAGTCAACAGGCAGTTGCCCATCTTGAAGGAGGCTGAAAGACTTGTCCCTGGCCTTGGTCAAGTCCCTTGCTAATGACTTTCTGAACTCATCCTTTTTCACACCGAGGAGGGAACATGTGTAGAGAGAACCCAGCAAAACAGAACAGGGGGGCTTCCCTGGTGGCACGGTGGTTAAGAATCTGCCTGCCAATGCAGGGAACGGGTTCAAAAAACTACAATGAGATATCATCTCACACCAGTCAGAATGGCCATCACCAAAAGATCTACAAACAGGGTTTCCCTGGTGGCACAGTGGTTAAGAATCTGCCTGCCAATGCAGGGAACACGGGTTCAATCCCTGGTCCGGGAAGATCCCACATGCCGCGGAGCAACTAAGTCCGTGCGCCACAACTACTGAGCCTGCGCTCTAGAGCCTGTGAGCCACAACCACTGAATCCCACACGCCTAGAGCTCGTGCTCCACAACGAAGAGTAGCCCCCGCTCGCTGCAACTAAAGAATGCCCATGCGCAGCAGCGAAGAGCCAACAGAGCCAAAAGTAGATAAATTAAAAAACAAAAAAACAGAACAGATAGGGCCAAAATTTGGTCTACCCTCTTTACTGGAATCCTGCCCACCACTGGTCTCGAAACCAAGGAGACTGAATGATTGTTGGATCCAGGACAAAGACCATTGTTTGAGGCCTCAAAGCCTCCTGGACACGTAGCCTGGTGTGCTCCCAGGCACTGCAGAGCCAATAGCCAAGGGACGAGGCCTCTTACTGCCCAGTACAGGCACACCTCGGAGATACTGTGGGTTCGGCTCCAGAGCACCAAGGTAAAGCACATTTCATGATAAAGTGAGTCACACGGATTTTTTGGTTTCCCAGTGCATATAAAAGTCATGCTTACACTATACTGTAGTCTATTAAGCATAGAGTCAATAGCATTATGCCCAAAAAAAACAATGTACATACCTTAATTTAAAAGTACTTTATTGATGGGACTTCCCTGGTGGTGCAGTGGTTAGGAATCCGCCTGCCAATGCAGGGGACATGAGTTCGAGCCCTGGTCCAGGAAGATCCCACATGCTGTGGAGCAACTAAGCCCGTGTGCCACAACTACTGAGCCTGCGCTCTAGAGCCCGCGAGCCACAACTACTGAGCTAGCGAGCCACAACTACTGAGCCGGGGCACCTAGAGCCCATGCTCCACAACAAGAGAAGCCACTGCAGTGAGAATCCCGCGCACCACAACAAAGAGTAGCTCCCGCTTGCCACAGCCAGAGAAAGCCTGCGCGCAAAAAAAAGGACTTTATTGCTAAAAAATGCTGACCATCATCTGAGCCTTCAGTGAGTCGTAATCTTTTTGCTGGTTGAGGGTCTTGCCTCCGTGGTGATAGCTGCTGACTGATCAGGGTGGTGTTGCTGTGGCAATTTCTTAAAATAAGACAACAATGAAGTTTGCTACATCAACTGACTCTTGCTTTCACGAACGATTTCTCTGTAACATGCAATGCTGTTTGATAGCATTTTACCCACAGTAGAACTTCTTTCAAAATTGGAGTCAATCCTCTCAAATCCTGCTGCTACTGTATCAACTAAGTTTACATAATATTCTAAATCCTTTGTTGCCATTTCAACATCCTTCACAGCATCTTCACCAGGAGTAGATTCCATCTCAAGAAACCACTTTCTTTGCTCATTCATAAGAAGCAACTCCTTATCCATAAAGTTGTATTATGAGACTGCAGCAATTCAGTGTCTTTAGGCTTCACTCCTAATTCTAGTTCTCTTGCTATTTCCACCACATCTGCAGTTACTTCCTCCACTGAAGTCCTGAAGTCCTCAAAGTCATCCACGAGGGTTGGACGCAACTTCTTCCAAACTCCTGTTAATACTGGTATTTTGACCCCTTCCCAAGAATCACGAATGTTCTTAATGGCATCTAGAATGGTGACTCCTTTCCAGAAGGTTTTCAATTTACTTCGCCCAGATCCATGAGAGGAATCACTATCTATGGCAGCTACAGCCTTAAGAAATGTATGCCTTAAATACTAAGACTTGAAAGTCAAAATGACTCCTTGATCCTTGGGCTGCAGAATGGGTGTTGTGTTAGCAGGCATGAAAACAACATCTCTATTACAGCTCTTAGATGACCAGGTGCACTGTCAATGAGCAGTAATATTTTGAAAATAATCTTCTTTTCTGAGCAGCAGGTCTCAATAGTGGGCTTAAAATATTTAGTAAACTACGTTGTAAACAGATGTACTGTCATCCAGGCTTTGTTGTTCCATTTACAGAGCACAGGCAGAGTAGATTTAACAGAATTCTTAAGGGCCCTAGGATTTTCGGAATCGTAAATGAGCACTGGCTTCAACTTAAAGTCACCAGATGCATTAGCCCCTAAAAAGAGAGTCAGCCTATCCTTTGAAGCCTTGAAGCCAGGCACTGACTTCTCTCTAGCTATGAAAGTCCTAGATGGCATCTTTTTCCAGTATAAGGCTGTTTTGTCTACATTGAGAATCTGTTGTTTAGTATAGCCACCTTTTTTTTTTGGCCACACCGGCCACTTGTGGGATCTTAGTTCCCCAACCAGGGATTGAACCCCAGGCCCTCAGCAGTAAGCGCAGAGTCCTAACCACTGGACCGCCAGGGAATTCCCAGTGTAGCCACCTTCATTAATGATCTTAGCTGGGTCTTCTGGATAATTTGCTGCAGCTTCTACACCAGCACTTGCTGCTTCACCTTGCACTTTTATGCTATAGGGATGGCTTCTTTTCTTAAACCTCATGAACCAACCTGTGCTAGCTTCAAACTTTTCTTCTGCAGCTTCCTCATGTCTTTCAGCCTTCATAGAACTGAAGAGAGTTACGGCCTTGCTCTGAATTAGGCTTTGGCTTAAGGAAATGCTGTGGCTGGTTTGATCTATCCAGACCATTAAAACTTTCTCCGTATCAGCAATAAGGCTGTTTTGCTTTCTTATCATTCCTGTGTTCACTGGAGTAGCACTTTTCAGTTCCTTCAAGAACTTTTTCCTTTGCATTCACACCTTGGCTAACTGTTTGGCACAAGAGGCCTAGCTTTTGGCCTATCTTGGCTTTTCAACATGCCTTCCTCACTAAGCTTAATCATTTCTAGCTTTTAAAGTGAGAGGCATGGGACTTCCCTGGAGGTCCAGTGGTTAAGACTCTGTGCTTCCACTGCACGGGGCATGGGTTCGACCCCCGGTTGGGGAACTAAAGTCCTGCATGCTGCAAGGCCCAAAAAAAAAAAAAAAAGTGAGAGATGTGAAGCTCTTCCTTTCACATGAACACTTAGAGGCCCTTGTAGGGTTATTAATTGGCCTAATTTCCACATTGTTGTGTTTTAGGGAGTTTTAGGGAATAAGGAGGCTGGTGGAGAGGGAGAGATGAGGAACAGCCAGTCAGTGGAGCAGTCAAAACACACACATTTGTGGATTAAGTTCGCCATCTTTTTTTTTTTTTTTTCGGCCACGCCATGTGGCTTGCGGGATCTTAGTTCCCTAACCAGGAGTCAAACCTGTGCCCTCAAAAAAAAACAAAAACCTGTGCCCTCAGCAGCGAAATCACAGACTCCTACCCACTGGACCGTCAGGGAATTCCCAAGTTCACCGTCTTATATGGGTGCAGTCGATGGTGCCCCAAACAATTATAATAGTAACATCAAAGATCACTGATCATAGATCATAACAAATATAGTAATAATGAAGAAGTTTGAAATATTGTGAGAATTATCAAAATGTAACATAGAGACATAAAGTGAGCAAATGCTGTTGGAACATGTACTTGGTTCAATGCAGGGTTGCCACAAGCCTATAACTGGTTAAAAAAAAAAAAAAAAAAAGCAGTATCTGTGAAGCACGATAAAGCAAGGTACAATAAAATGAGGTGTGTTTGTACCTGGATGTTGAGAGGGATGAAGGAGACCAGGCTGTAGTCTTCGATGAGCTGCACCAGTTTCTCATTGAGCTGACGGTAGTGGCGGAAGAAAGGATCAGAAGCCAGGTGGTCAAGCAGGTAGGAGAGGTCCAGGACCTCTGTGTAGTAGTCCAGGTTGAAGGCTAAGAAGAGAAACTGGTTAGCACAGGGAACGACAGTCAATATTCTATGATAAACCATAATAGAAAAGAATATAAAAAAAGAATGTATGTATATGTATTACTGAGTCACTTTGCTGTACAGCAGAACTTAATACAACATTGTATATCAACTATACTTTAATTAAAAAGAAAATAAAAAGAAGAGAAACTGGTGTTCAGGAGCGACTGGCATCAGGCTAAAGACTTGAGGACAGGGACCGTATTTTTTCCTTCTTCCTTTGCCTTCATTCACTCACTCACTCACTCATTCATTCATTCATTCATTCAACAAACATTTGCTGAGGCAGTGAAATGAACTTACTAAGAAGAAAATACTTGATTTCACTTGTTGGCTCTGCCATTTACTAGCTCTATGGGCAGTTACCCACCTCATGGGGCTACTGTGAGGATTAAGTGCTATAAACCCCAGTGTCTGGTCCAGAGAAGTGCTTGATCAGTGGTAGTAAGGTAGAACGTGTACCAGTAATAGTGCCTGGTCCCTGCCTCGAAAAGCTCACAGCCAGGCAGAGCTCCCAGGAGCTCGCACACTATCTAGCGCCTCTATCTAGCAGGATGGCCTCTTGGGAAAATCACTTTTCCTTTCCAGGTCAGTTCCTTCTTAATGTAAAATGAGAAGATTAGACTAGATGACTCAGAGGTCCCTGACTCAGTTCTATGAATACAAACTTTGCACTAAGAGAAGGAAAGTGGGCCTCTCTGCACTGTCCACTTCTGCCTGGAAGACTCAAGCAGCTGGGCTACTCAGCAGGTCTGTCGCAATGTGAGCCGAGGGAATCAGGCTATTGGGATCGACTGACTCACTCCCTGAGCTCTGCTTCCTGTGTTCTTATCAGCTCTAATTAGAAACTGACACCCCTGTGCCTGCAAGGAAGAAAGTGCTGGGCATTCCAACAAACTTCTTGGATTGCCTGACAGGTATGTTTCTCACTGAGAATGCAGAAACTGCAGCCAGGTACACATGGTTTAAATTTTATCTCAGTTAACAGGCTAGCTGAGTGACTGACCTTGGGCTATTCATGTAATGTCTCTGGGCCTCAATTGCCTGATCTGGTTTGTACCTCAGTCTCTTGTGAGGATGACTGGCAAGAGTCAGAGCTAGAAATGTAGAGGACCAGCATGTAGCCATCTGGGCTGCAGGCTGTGAAGGGGGAGACAGGCTTGGGAAGACACAAATCTGGACATAGATAAAATGGGGCTTTTTATCCCCATCCTTCCATGTCCCAACTGGCAGCCAGTCACCCTCCCTGGACAAGGCCCTGACAGTTCACTCTCCCTACAACCTCCCTTCCTGCTCACTGCTGGTCATTTCAGCTATTCTTCTCTAGGTTCCTTTGTGGCTGAAGATGCTATTTAGGGAACTAATGCCCCAGTCAGCAGGGCACTAATTTTCCAGGAAAAAAAATGTTGGCCATAGACCCCTAGGCAACGCCCCTGCCTCATGCCAGCCTACCTCTCTCTCAGACTTTCCCACCTTGACAAATGGCACCTTTATCTGTCCACTGGTTCAGTCAGAAACCTAAGAGTCATCCTTAATTCCTCTGTCTCCACATCCAATCCACCAGCAAATCCTATTTCTTGAGTAACTTTTTTTTTTTTTTTTTTTGCAGTACGCGGGCCTCTCACTGTTGTGGCCTCTCCCGTTGAGGAGCACAGGCTCCGGACGCGCAGGCCCAGCGGCCATGGCTCACGGGCCCAGCCGCCCCGCGGCATGTGGGATCTTCCCGGACCAGGGCACGAACCCGAGTCCCCTGCATCGGCAGGCGGACTCTCAACCACCGCGCCACCAGGGAAGCCCTTGAGTAACTTTTGAATCTATCTATTTCTCTCCATTCCCACTACCACTGCCTGGGCTGCTGCAAACACCTCCTACAGGATCTCTGTTTTCATTCTTGCCCCTTTCAATTCACAAAGTAGCCAGAAGGGCCTTTTTAGTTCATGGTGTTCCCTTGCTTCATATTCATCAATGGCTTTCCTCTGTGTTTCAACAGTACAGGTTCTAGCCCCTGCCTACCTCTCTGACCTCGTTTCCTACCACCCTTCCCCTGGGCACTATCGCAGCTACCCTGGGCTCCCTTCACTCCCCACCCCCTTTTCCTTGAACACAGAATGCTCTTTCCTGGGACTTCCCTGGTGGTGCAGTGGTTAAGAATCCGCCTGCCAATGCAGGGGGCATGGGTTTGATCCCTGGTCTGGGAAGATCCCACATGCCGCAGAGCAACTAAGCCCGTGTGCCACAACTACTGAGCCTGCATGCTGCAACTACTGAAACCCGCGTGCCTAGAGCTTGTGCTCTGCAACAACAGAAGCCACCGCAATGAGAAGCCCGCACACCGCAACAAAGAATAGCCTCTGCTCGCCGCAACTAGAGAAAGCCCATGCGCAGCCAAGAAGACCCAACGCAGCCAAAAAAATAAGTTAATTAAAAAAAAAATTGTGGTTCATGTGAAATGGCAAAAAAAACAACAACCCACCAACAAACAAAAAAACAAAACTCTTTCCTTAAGGATTAGGGAAATAGGGACCCCTATTGGTCCCTCTGCCTAGGAACAGTTCTGCCTTGGCTGGCTCCTTCTCACTATTCTGGTCTCAGCTCAGATGGTACTGTTCACTCCCCTCACTCCCAACCACTCACTATCCCATCACTTTCTTCTAATTCCTTCACAATACATATCACCATCTGTAGCTCTCTTGTCCCCAAAACCCAGAACAGTATCTGGCACAGAGTGGCACAAAATAAATGGGCAAGGGTCAGACCTGACTGTGGCTATTATCACCAGGCCATGCATGGTCCCTGGAAGCAGCTTCCTTCAGCTGAGACCTCTGCTTCACTCCAGCCCAGCCGCTGCCCTACTTTTTGCCTGTCAGAACAGGATCTCTTACCCAGCTTCCCATAGTGTTCAATGAGGTCCATCTTGGAGAGGAGGTTGACATGGGGCAGCTCCACATGCAGCATGGTGGCCAGGGAGGTACACAGTACTGAAATGAACTTGGCAGGGTCTGTGCAATAGTGAGAATCCACCAGGTGGACAGCAGTCAGCTGGGAGGGAAGGAAGAGACAGGGTGAGAGTGGCCTGGGGAGGCAGGGAACATTAGGGCCTATGCCTCCCCCATCAGACTGGGGACTTCTGAGGGCAAAGGGAAAGTCTTCCCATTAGTTTTATCCTGCTTCTGTTTCATTCTAATAGCCACAGTCATTTCCTTATTCCAGGAGATGTGAGGCATCTTTTCGTACAAGATGCCTTGCACTGAGCCTCCCAGTGGGCAACTGGTTCAATTCCCACTGCACCTGACTCTATTCTTTCACTTTCTTTTGCCCACAAGTCACAACAATTACCATGCCACTTTCCACATAACTCCTTCCATACTCCCAATAATCCCAAATTGGGTACTGACACATCCATTTTACAGATGAGAAAACTGAGGTTCAGAGAGATAAACTGACTTGCCCAGGACCACACAGCGAGTCAGTGGCAGTAGCAGAGCCAGGATTCGAACTCACATCTGTTTTACTCCAAAGCGTCTCGGCCCCTACCTCGCTGTGGGACACGGGGGCGTGGCATCTGTTCTGCTCCCTGTCTCAGTTCGTCCATCTGCAAAATGGGCCTGCCCATCCCCAGACGCACCCTGAGGTCCCACTGCGCCATCTGAGAGAAGATGCTGCGCAGGGCTCCGTGGTGCGTGCAGAGCTCCACTTGGCCAGGGCAGTCGAAGAGGAAGTAGTGGCCGCGGAGGGGGTCGAGCTTGGCACGCAACCAGTCCAGGTTGGCCTCCAGGTACTCCATGCAGTACAGCAGGCCGCCGTTGGGCCCCAGCTGCAGCGCGTCCATCACGTCGCCCAGCCCCACCAGCTCGCCCACGTCCACGGCGCACTCGTACGGCAGCCCCTCATTGGCCGGGTCCAGGTTCACCACCGCCACTCGCCGGCCCAGCGCGCGCAGGAACTCACTCATGCCCAGGCAGTACGTGGTCTTCCCCGAGCCCGGAGGGCCAATAACCGCCTGCCCAAAGGCCGTGGTCGGAGCGGCCCCCGCCATGGGCAGCCGGCACACGGCTCCGTGCGGAGCAGGTAAGCTCGGCAGGGAAGCAGGGCGGGAGCCAAGCCGAAGACGAGAGCCGAGGGCAACGGGATCCCTGACGTGCACTTCGTCGGGGGCCGGCGGTGATGCCCGGGGGTCGCCTAAGGAGGAAGAGCAAGGACCCACGCGATGTGAGGCGACCAAATGGCCAGGTACTGACGGGACCAGCACCCGACTTCCGGACGACGTCGGAAACAGCAGGGCCCGGAGGGGAAGTCCCGCCCATAAGGCGACGAAACAGCTTGGCGCCGAAGGGCGTGGTGACGTCGGTGCGTGGGGCGGACGTGGGGGGCCTGGGGGAGGGGGCGGTTACCTTTCTGGGGATTTCTCCACCTTCCTCCCGGCCGAATTAGAAGAGAAAGAGAAATTCGGTAGTAAACTTTTTTATTCTCTCGTCAGGTCGCAGACCCGGGACACCTGCAGCGGACTCTCCGCTGCCCGGTCCCAGCCAGTTAAGGGTAGAGGCGGTGGAGGGCCCGCCCCAAGACCGTCTCTTCCAACCACAAATCCTCTCCTCTTTCATGTCCCTTTTCCCCTCTTTCTGGGCTTCATGCTGAACCCACTCCCACCCTCCCCTTGCCCCCAGGAAGGTTGTGACGATAACCTCAGTCAATCCAGTTTTCAAGGTGCTGGGGGAGGCAACAGGAGCAAGCCTAAACAGGGACTAGGGTTAGGAGCCCACCGAGGACAAGTCATTAAGCCCTGTCATCAAAGGGGAGGATAGGGGGCTTTTTGTAAAAATGCCCCTGAGGTAGACAGGCAGAAGGCAAGTTCTGAACAAGCCGCGCAGACTGCTGCTCCCAGAGTTCTTTCTGCTTCCGTGGGAGATAAGGCCAGGCAGAGGGCTGCCACTGTGCAGTTATGAGTGATCCTCATTAAGGAAGCCCTTGAACCTGCCACTCACGCTCTGAGGGGCTGCCAGAGGCACAGCTGGAACCCCTCACAAAAGCCATATCTGTACGAAACTTCATGCTGGTGGGTGGCTGGCGGCGGAGCAGCGACTCCCCCTGGTCCTGGGGTAGGGGCTCATCGTAGATGGTGGAGATGAGCCCTAAGCCAGTTCCACGGGGCCTCTTGGGTTGCCCAAATGGCTGGAGCTTCTCTCCATGGTACCTGGATCAAAAAGAGCTCTCAGTGAGCGGGCTGCTATCTCACCGCAGTAAAGGGGTTGAGAAAGGACAGGGTAAAAGCTGATTCATATCTGGTTTGTCCCAAAGACTGAGCATTTAAATCTGGATCTTTGCTCTCCAGCCCCCTTATCCATCCATTGATAGTGCCAGCAACCAGAGGCCTCACATACTGCTTTCATTTTAAATGGTACACGAAATTTAGAACAACTGTCACCACTCTGTGACTTACAGTCACTTTCTAATAGCAATCATCAAATCCAAACTCCTCAGACTTGGGGGAATGACTCCCCCAGGAGATTAATGATCGTGTCAAGCCTGAGGACTCGGTCTTGAAAACGTTAGCGCCAGACATACTTTTTCCTTCGAATTCTGTTTTGAAGTTCATTCCCTAGGCGTCTCTAGCACCCAATCCAAAACCAGAGGGAAGAGGGTACAGCTGAAAGGCTCACTTGGGCTCCCAGGGAAGTCCCTCACCCATACTCACCCCAATCCACGCTTGCATCTGGGGTGCTGGCCGTCACTATCCAGGGCCTCGGGCACCCCTGAGCACCCGCTGCCCAGGCCCTGGCCCTCGGCCCAGCCCTGCCGCTCCATCACCTTCCGCCCAATGCCCTGCAGAGGGAAGGGAGAAGACTCAAGATGGGGCTCCTGTGGGGGCGGGGAAAGGAATGAGGGTAAAGAAGGAAAAGAGAGGGGTCAGCAGGCTGGCACAGTGCTCACCTTGGTGTGGCGCTCAAAGGTGCCCACCTGGTGTCCGATCACAGAGCCGGCCTCCTGGCCATCACGGAGTCTCCGTTCCAGACGAATTTGGACAGAGTCTCGGGCATCCTTGTCTCCACCATCTGAGGAAGTACAGCCCAATTTGTGGAAGGGTCTCTCTCAGCAGAAGCGGGGAAAATCAGGTTTCTAGGCCCTCCTCACAAGATTTAAATATTCATTTTTTTTTTTTTTTTTTTTTTTGCGATATGTGGGCCTCTCACTGTCGTGGCCTTTCCCGTTGCCGGATGCGCAAGCTCAGCGCCCATGGCTCACGGGCCCAGCCGCTCCGCGGCATGTGGGATCCTCCCGGACCGGGGCACGAACCCCTATCCCCTGCATCGGCAGGCGGACTCTCAACCACTGCGCCACCAGGGAGGCCCAATATTCATTTTTATGGTGTGTTATTACTGTATTATTATTTCTCCCATTAGACTGGGAGCTCACCAAGAATAAGAACCACAGCTGTCTCATCTTACAGATGAGGAAACTGAAGTACAGAAAAATCATAAAGCCAAAAAATGAGAGAGAGAATTAGGACCCAGGTCTTCCCTTCCCACCCCCACAGCCACCCTAGGTCATTTCTGACTCCAGAATCTAAATTCTTAACCAGAGCCCGAACTCCTGACCCTCCCACTCTACTAGGGTCTGCCCGTCAGAACCAGAGCTCCCTGAGGGCTGTCACCACATGTCCTTCCTGCACAAAGAAAGGAAAAAGGCTCTGCCTACAACCAGCACTTAATGCACTCAACTAGCGATATTTTAAGAGAGGAACCCTCTCAGCGGGCTACCCCAAGGGAACTGGTGCCCTGTCTCAGCCTCTGCTAAGCAGGTCTCTGGTAAAGTGTCACTGCAAGGCCAGGGCACCATTCCACCTCCCAGTACTGCAACCTCTGGCCCAGTACCTGCATCGTAGTACACACTCATATCCACATCCCAGTCATCGGCTGTCTGTTCATCAAAGTCTGCAGATAGAAAAGCATCAAGCAGAGTGAGCCAAGGACTCTCAGTTCTGTCAAGAGTTAAATTAGACTTTCTGGAACTTGGGGCTTTTGATTTTATCTTCAAGTCTCTCCTCTGAAGGGGGTCATTCAGAATTTGTAGGAGGGCATTTTCTCTCTACTCCACTGATCCCTCACCCCTAGAAAGGATGGCTGGTCTCTCATATATAACCAACGTAAGCCTCTTCCCTAGCCCTTTAGTTGGGCTCACTGCCAGGGAACCCACCGTGTGGAGCAGAGCGCCCTGAGCGAACGCAGCAGGGATCACCCCTGCCCTTGCCCTGGTGCCAGTGTTACCTCCTTCCTCTTCCTGCCAGAATTGGGCGTCAGTGTAGAACACCAGGCCTGAGCCGCCCTTCTCCCACTTGAGCTCGATCTCCTCCTCAAAGAGCTGCTCAGTGGTCCGCTCCTGCCCGGTCACGTCCTCATGCAGCGCTTCGTGCCGCTCCCACTCCTCACCCCGCTCATCGTCCTGGGAGAAGGTGGGGAGAGGTGACCTGCCTGTCCAGCTTCCTGACCTCAGGCCCATGAGGAGGGCAGCTCTGCACAGGAGGTCCCATGGATGGGACCTCGGCTCCTTTCCTCCAAATTTCTCTGAGAAGCAGCACTTTCTGGCCCCTAAGCCGTGACCAAAAAGTCTCTCCATGCCCTGTTTCTCAACATACTTGGCCCCTTCCGCCACAAGCCTGACTCACTCTTATCCCTGTGCTTTTGGCCATGTTGTTCTCCCTGCCTGAACATCTGCCCTCCTCTCCCACCACCACCTCCTCTTTACTTGGTTAAATCCTCCTCATTCCTCAAGTTCTGTAGCTCACATGAGGTCCCCCACACTGAGGCCCACAGCACTCTCACTGGTCTCTGAATTTCTCACTGCTAATCAATACACCCTGTTTATGCCTTTCTACATTATGTCACAAAGAAAGAAGGGACAGGAACTAAACCTATCGTCTACTGTGTCAGGCCCTTCACATACCTTAGCTCCTTTAATCACCCCAACAACCCTGTGAGGTTAGTACCATTATTCCCATTCTGCAGGTTAGGAAAACTCGAGAGGAGTAAAGTGATTTGCCTAAGAGAGGGCCAGAGCCAGCATTCAAACCCATGCCATACCACATCCCCTTTCCAGATGCTGGTTCTCTCTCTTCAGGGAGCTTGAAGGCTCTTTGAGGGAAGGAAATGAGTCTTAGAATGTCTTTGGAATCCTGTGCTAGCCCCTGTGTTTACAACTGCTTGACTGGACTTGTGGAATGACAGAATGACTCCTGGCTTGAAATCTTGGGGACTCCTGCCCCAGTTAAACTCCAGGAGGTCTCAGGAATCACTGCTACAGAGCAGAGGCTGGAGAAAAGGCAGGACAGTACCACACACTAAGGATGTGGTCCAGATGTGTTAGCAACTCTGAGCTGGGAACTTTGAAGACACAGGTCAATTACTTCTTACCCAGAGTATGCATTTAAAAAAAAAAAAAAAGTTTCCCAACAAATCACACCTCTCCCGATTGTATGGATGAACAACCAAGTTTGGAGAAAGAGGTAGAATAAATGTCTATTTCATTGATAAAGTTAGAGTGGAGGCTAGTGTTCAATCCACAGACTCAAGGTCAGAAAATAGAGGCGACTTCTCAACCACATAATGAAAGCACACAGAAGTTAGACAAGCAGCGAAGGGGACTGGGTTCACATCCCAGCTGTGCCTCTGCTTCCTTAGGTGATCTTATCTCTTGGTCAGTAGGTTTCATCAATGAAAGGGTCCCTCCTTACATTTCTTCTGAAGAAATGAAAAGAAGACCCCTTTGAGAATCTTTTGATAAAATCTCTAGCCCCTCTCCCAAAGAAACATATACCTGCACGTGCAAATGCAGTTTTACGTTCAATGTCAGGGAGTTCAAAGTCTTTGGAAGCCTCCTGAGGACCCCAGGTTTAGAACACTGGTAATACACAACCTTAGAGTGGTACTGTCAATGCCTTGGTCTCTCTAAGCTGCCAGCAAGGACAAGGCGGCTCTCTGTACTCACGTCATCTGAGTGTGACTCTTTTTCCTCTTCCTTTTCTTCCTCTGGCTCTTCACAGGGGTTGGCTGGTACATCTGCCAAGCAGGTTCCCTGGGGTATCTCCTCACCCTCGGCTGTGTACACAAGTTCTGCCTGCTCCACAGTCTCTGAGTCCTCATACTTGAAGGGCACATTGCCGTAGCGCCGGGAGGAACCTGTCTTGGGGAACTGGAGATGCAGCTGGGTGATGATCCGAGGGGGTAGACGACAGGCCCGGATCAACTCCAAAAA